ATGGCTGCTGCCTTTTCCTCGTGACGTAGCCGGTTTGCCGAGTCCGGCCGGGCGCGGACTCGCGTTTCGCCTTCTCCCTTCCCCCCCGACTCTGAGCGAGGGAGCGCAAAGGCGAGAGGTGTCGAGCGTTTGTCCGCGGCCGCACGGGCTCGAGCGACCGGCCGCCAATTTGACCAGGTCGCGCCGCGGCCCATTATTTGACATCGATGCGGAAAACAATCTTTTGAGATGTCCCCATGCCGCTCACGCGGCCATCTCCTACCGTATTTACCGTTTGCTCCATCGTTAGTGCGGTGCAGCAGGGTTGGACGTATACTACGCCTAAGGCGTAGTATTTGGTTGGGTCTCCCAACTAGCTTTAAACTGCATTATATACACACACATGTATACATACACACGAACAAACTACAAATTAACTGCAGCATTCATGCCCTGGCGTGTGTCCAGTCGTGATCTGAATAGCGCGTCCAATGCAAATAAGAGATGACGCCACGCCCCCAATCCTTATTACCGAAAAGGTGGTCTTATGCGGCATGGAGCTAATGTGCCCCGATCAGGCTTTGCTTAAAGGAATTTCATTTGTTCGTGAAAAAACCGTGGGTACCTGGCCAAGCCTTTGCTGGCCTTCCCCGGGGTTGCCCACTTGCCCAGCCTTCCTCGCGTTGCTCGATTGCTCGGCGTTCCTCGGGTTGCTGGGCCGTCTTCCGATTGCCAAGCCTCCTTCGGGTTGCCCAATTGCCCGGTTCCCCGTTTGTTTGGTGCCCGTTTGTTTGCTGCCCGGTCGTTCGGTTGCCCAGGTTGCCCTGTTTTTGTGGTTGCCTGGTCGCTTGTGTTGCCAGGTCGTACGGTTGCCAAGCAAGGCAAAGCAATGCCAAGCAATGCCAAGCAGCGTAATTCCAAACAGTGCCCAAAACTGCAAAGCAACAAGCAATGCCAAGAATTTGCAAGCAACGGCAAGCAATGCCAGGCAACCAGGCGATGCTAAGCAGCGACAAGCAGTGCCAGGCAACGCTAAGCAATACCAAGCCATGCCAAGCAACGCCAAGCAATGCCAAGCAACGCCAAGCAATGCCAAGCAACGCCAGATAATGCCAAGCAGTGCCGCTTGGGAAACGTTCCCCCTATTTGGCGTCGCGCCGGGGTCATATTCACAATGTCTTTGCCCCTTGAGCCCGATTCAGAAGGCGGCCAAGACGGCAAATTTGGAGAAGGCGCCCAGGTGAGATTTCGGGTTAACTTGGCGCGTCTAGGCGGCCAGGACTCCCATTCCATGTTCTTGGGATGCTGGAACATGTCACGCGACCAGATCTGGCAGCGTCCAGGAGCGGATGGGAGAGCGGGGTCCATTGCCCCTTTGGATCATCAAACCGTTTCATTCCCATTGAACGTATTTGGGACACGACGACATTGCACGGTGTGCACAAGGCATGGTGGCGGATCTTGCGTCGAGTGCGGAAGAGAATTCATGTGAAAAGACACTCGATAGGAAAGTTGATTGGATAGCAGCCTCCAAAGCACCCTTTAAACACTCTCGCTCCCACCGGGTAGTGTAGACGCTGTGGTCAAGTGTCGAGACGCCCTGAGGTGAGGTGTTCAAGCCACTGCCGCCTGAGACATCCTCGCAATGTTGTCCTCGGAGGTTCATTTCCCCAAGGTGGTCCAGCCACTGCCGCCTGAGACATCCTCGAAACTCTGATCTCGGATATGCCCTGAGTTCAGGTGTTCAGGCCACTTTCGCGTGAGACATCTCCGGAACTCTGACCTCGGAGGTGCCCTGTCCCATGGTCATCCAGGCACTTTCGCCTGAGACATCCTCGCAACTCTGGGTTGCGATATGCCCTGAGCTCAAGTGTTCAGGGCATATCGCCTGAGACATCCTCGCAACTCTGGGTTGCGAGAGGCCCTGAGGTGAGGTGGTCAGGGCAATGCCGCCTGAGACATCCTCCGAACTCTGACCTTGAAGATTCATTGCCCCAAGGTGGTCTGGCCACTTCCGCCTGAGACCCTCGCCACTCTGAGATGCGAGATGCCCTGAGCAGGATCTCGCCACTATTGCCTGAGACATCCTCACAACTCTGACCTCTTGATGCCTCTCCGAGGGCCTCTTGGGCACTTGGCCGCGGCACAGGAACAAAGCCAGGCCAGAGCCCAGAAACAAAATCCAGAAACAAAACTTGAAACTAGGCGGTGCAACCCAGGTGGTGCAATCTATGTGATTCAAAGCAATTCAGTGCAACGCAACGCAACGCAACCCAACGCAAGGCAAAGTACTGCAACACGATGCAACGCAACGCACTGCAAAATAATGGAACGCACTGTGAAGCACTGCATCGCAACGCAACGCCATGCAAAGCATTACAAAGCAAATCAAATCAATGCAAAGTAGTGCACAGCAATGCAACGCAATGCTCATCAATGCAATGCAAGTGCAACGCAACGCGCAGCAAAGCAACGTCATGCACACCGATGCAGCGACGTGCACAGCAATGCAACGTAATGCATTGAGATGCGATTGCAGTGCGATTGCAATGCGATTGCAATGCGATTGTCATGCCATGCAATGCGATAGCAATGCACTGCAGGGGGATTGCAACGTAACGCGTTGCAATGCAACGGAGGGAGGGTGCAACAGGGCGGCGGCGAGAGGAGGGGTGGGGGGAGTCTGCCTGGAGTGCTACGCGGGAGTTTCTCGGGATCCTTCAGGCCGCGCCCGGATTCCTCGACTGTTCGATCACCATCAGGTCGACTCGTGGTTTCTCATGATCCTTCAAACATCCACGCGTCACCTCTGGCGGCGTCGCAGCTGCGCCGCACCTGCTCATATTCCCCTAGGCGACCACCGCGCGGGGTGGTGGCGGGGGGTGGGGTTCTGCGTGAACCGAAGGAGCGGCTTTCTCAGCTTCCCTCAGGCAGTATCAGGATTCCTCGGATGCCCAAGAACCATCCGGTTTCCGCGTGGTGCCCATGATTCCGAAAGGTGCCACGCACGCGGTTCCTCTGGCGGTGTCGCAGTTGTGCCGTGTCAGCTGGCATCCCGCTGCGCAACCACCGCGTGGGGTGGTGGTGGTCCGAGCACAGTATCTGACTACCACCACCAAGATCGAGAATGATATACGATGCGATTTGGTGCAGTTTTGCTATGGTGAAAAGCCCGCAGTCCCCCCCCCGCCGCCAACGGCAACCGGGCTGCCCCCTCTCTGTTAAGGACCGAAACAGAATTCATCAACGCACGCGCGGTTGTGGTGTATATAATTTTGGTTACCAAGGGGGGCGACTTTTATACACCACCACCACCACCACCACCAAGAAGTGCTGTTTCTGCATCAGGAACTCCCCGTGCCACGGCGCCTGCGAGCTGCGCCGCGCTCCTTTTCGCCGTGGCGTCGCAGCGTCGTCTGGCATGACCCTGCTAACCCTTTTTGCGGAAAATTCATGTTGCGGGCGGTGGTGGTGTATACACATTGGCCTCGCAGGTGGGGGATCTGCATGTGAAGAGATCTGCTCCCTGGGCCTGCTCCTGCGGCGTGCCCTTGGGGGTTCTGGGATCGTAGCCTCGGGCGGCGGCCAGGAGCTTGTGAGAGCCCCAGGGGAGGAGTTCGAGTGTGCGGACTGCTCGCGCGACGCCCTGAGCCCGTTCCAGGCCAAACATTCTCCAGAGAGGGAGTCTTCACTTTTGTGCTGCGTGCAAGGGGAAGAAGGCGTTCGTAGCCCGCCTTCCACACCGCTCGGAGGTGGGATGGCTAACTCCCGCCCGCCGACGTGGTGCAGCCGGCTCTCCGCTGCTCGTTCTGGCCATCGGTCGCCCGCCGCCTGGCGATAGTCAGAAGCGGCCTTGGCTCCAGGAAGAGATATGCAGAGAGAGAGAGAGAAAGAGAGAGAGAGTGAAAGGAATGGAGGGAGGGAGGGACACATATATATGTATATGTATGTATGTATATGTATATGTATATGCATATATGTGTGTGTCGAGAGAGAGAGGGAGAGAGAGAGAGAGAGAGAGAAAAAAAAAAAAGGCAGAGGGGCATATGACAAGATGGGTGCGCTCGCGCCACATTTGACATCCGACCCCTCCTTCTCATTCCTTCCGATTCCGCTCATCTGCTCTCTATATCCGCGGACGCGTGTCATAGCCGACCTGGAACTCCATTGCCCCAGCAAAGCGCCCTAATAGCAGCACGTGTGACCTGTGGGGCAGGTGGGAAGTGTGGGACTCGTCCGATTTATTAGACCCGTAGAACCTGTGGGGCTTGTGTGGTCTGTGGGGACCTGCGGGACTTGTGGGACTTGTGCGACCTGGGGGAACTGGGGGACCTCTATGACCTGCGGGGCCAGTGAGACCTGCGACGCATAAGGGCCCTGTGGGACCTGTGGGAGCTGTGGGTCGTGCGTGATCTGGGAAACCTGTGGAACCTGTGGGACCGGCGGGACCTGCCGTGCCTGTGGGACTTGGGGGACCGCCGTGGGACCTGTGAGACCTGCGATGCCCGTGGGACCTGTGGGACCTGCGGGCCCTATCGGACCTGTGGGATCTGTGGGACTTGCGACGCCTGCGACACCTGCGACACCTGCGGGACGTGTGGGACCTGTGGGACGACCTGCGACACCTGGGGGTTATGTTGGACCTGTGGGGCCCGTGGGGCCTGCGAGACCTGCGAGACCTCGGGGATCTGCGATGCCTGCGGGGTCCAGACAAGTGGCCCATGCTAGGGCGGGAGTGCCATTCTGAACGACGGGGGAGCAAAGCGCCGATCCGAAAATGAGGCCAACGCTACAGCGGGAGCACCGTTTCGAAGCACCGAAGGCAATCGGAGTGTAACAACTCACGGAATACCACGGTCTGAAATCGTGTGTGTGTGAGAAGTCCAGAAGTCCGGACGCGGAGAGGGCGCAATACCACCGGACAGAGTCAGAGGAGAGAGGGGAACCTGTCGCATTCGTACTGTGCGCGCATGCAGGGCCAAAGCCACGGAGCGAAGCACGAGCAGGGCGGGCGCGCAGAGGTGTCCGCCCGCTGCCGGCAGAGTACATCGCCGAGGCGGCGCCCCCTCGACGCCGCGCCCCGCCCTGCCCGGCCCCCCTGCCGGGCGCTAGCAGCCTGTGGACGTCTCGGCGCGCTCGCGCGTGCGCGCCCGTTTGTGTCTCTCGGCGGCGAGCCCGGGGAGCAAGGTGAGGGGGGCGGGCCTTCTCGGACGGCTTTCTAAGCCTTCCCCGCGGAGCAGCAGACAACCCATCAAAAGGCAGGAGGGCTTCTGAGAAGCCCCGCTGCCTTCCTTCTGAGATGGCATAGCCTTCTCCGTCTCACTTCGCCCCCTCGCTCTCCGCCGAGTTTCTGTGTCTCGGGCATTGGCAGAACGCCTTCGCTCGTCCTGAGTATGCCCTGTGCGTTGTTTTCGGCGGCGAGCGAGGGGAGGAAGTGAGAAGGAGAAGGCCTTCTCAGAAGGCGGCGTGGCTTCTCAGAAGCCATCAGGCCTTCTGAGAGGTTTTCTACGTTTTCGAGGAAGGCTTAGACAACTTCTCAGAAGGACGGGGGACTTCCGAGCCTTCTGAGAAGGCCCGCCCCCTCTCTTTTCTCCTCCGGGCTGGCCGCCGACTTTCGTTCATCCTGAATTTGCCTAGCGCGTTTTTTTACCGTTTTTCGTTCGGCGTCTTGGGAATCATGCGCTTGGCGTTTCTAGTATGTTTAGCCTGACGAGAATCCAGAGTAAACAACGGTACAACAAGTAATCACAGCAATACACAGGGTGTTTTCAGGTTGAGCCAAGTAGAACGCCCACCCAGGCAAGGCGACTGAGCGGGTCCTCTCGACATTGGCATTGGACTGTGCCCGTGCAGTCCCCGGGTCGTTTCTGCTAACCAGCGTGCGTGTTCGCCGGATGCATCTGGTTGTTTGTGGACGTCGATTAGCTGCCCTTCTGGGGTCCACTCGGACTGCGATGTCGTGAGCACGTTGAGTGCCCGTGCCGGCTTCCACCAAAGGGCATGTTGCTAGAGGGGTTCTGTCCACCCCAGAGTGTGCGGTGCTCGAGTTGGGGCGCCCGCCACGTCTCGAGCTGCGCGGTTGTGAGGTTCTCGGCGGGTGCGACTTGTTGCCCCCCTCCTTCATCCCCCCCATCTCCTGTTCTCCGTCCTTCACCAGGGCAGTTCCATGAGTCACTGGCCACGCGACATGCGTTCGCCTCGCAGTGCAGAAATTGTGTGTTTGTGTGTATGTGTGTGTATGTGTGTGTGTGTTTGTGTGTGTGTGTGTGTGTTTGTGTGTGTGGTGGAGCCTTCCCAGCCCAGCACGTTGGGGGCGGTCCGCCCTTGGGGGATGACGCCCTGCTTTTTTTGGTTGTTCGGGCCGCCCTGGGGACGAGGGCGTCTGTTTCGGACATCTGGGTGCCTCGCGGATCCAGGCCTCCCGAATGGGGCTGGAGCCGGCGGGGTATAGATCGCTCCGCATCGCCTATGTATTCGGGGATGCGGCGCGAGCCAGGACTCCGCGTTGGCCATGCTGGCGTCGACGATGCGACCGACCTCGGGTCCATTTTTTTGGCACCACTAGTGGGGCCTCCAGCGGGTGTCCTCTGATTTGTTCACGACGTGGGTCCCCCAGAGGTCTTGACCCATTCCCCGGGACCGGCCTGTCATCCTGAGCTCGTTTGATGCCGATCGCCTCCAAGATGGCCCCAAGACGGCGCCAAAGCCCTAGGCCGCGCCAACGAAGAGTCAGCCAGATGCTGCTTGCCTGATGAAGTGCCTCAAACCCACTCCGGCCTGCCAGCCACGGCCCCTGACCCAAGCCTTGGGCCATGAGAGGGCTTCCGGAGGCCGAAGAGGTTCACAACACTTGCCGTCGTGATTTCTTCACACCACGGGGATGTCAGTGATGGGCCGATTTTCCACCACCACTGCCATAGGTAGGAGAGGGATGAGGAAGAGGAGGAGGAGGGGAAGGAGGAGGAGGAGGAGGAGGGGGAGGAGGAGGAGGACCAGTGCGCACCCAAGACTTATCAACGATATTGAAATACACCCTCCCTCCGAGATCCCTCTTCATTGTCCCCTACAAGAGTCAGTTCCACTGAGGGAACTGTTCCGTTGGGGGACAACCGGACAACCGTGTGAACATCTCGAAGCGTGCCAAAATACCAGTCTCGGGACTTCAACGTCACGAGTTAACTTGACTGTTACGTCTTGGCGATCCTGAATCGTGCCAGAACACCATTCCTAGGAGTTCAACGCCGCGAATCAGCGTAAACATCGCGCCCTGACAATCCCGAATCGCTCCAAAACGCTATTGCTGATACGTCAACCATGAGAACCAGTGAAATTCTTGCAAATGTGTGCAGCGAGTGTGCGCAGCGCTAAGGCGAGAGCGACATTTTGACAACGAACCGCCCTCAATCCGTGAAGTCCTCGCAACTGTTTACAACGAATATGCGCGGCGCTCAGGCGAGAACCACATCTTGAAAACCACCCGCCCTCAATCCGTGAATCTCTTGCATTCTTTCAACGGATGTGCTCTGCGCTAAGGCGAGAGCCACCACCAAACCATCACCACCATCATAACTCACCATCACCACCATCACCACCACCACCACAAAAACTCACCACCACTACCACCACCACCACAATCTACCACGAAACCACCACCACCACCGCCACAACCACCACCACTACCAGCAGCACAACCCACCACCACAAACCACCACACCACCACCACCACCGCCACCACCACCACCACCACCACCACCACCACCTCCACAAACCACCGCCACAACCACAACCCACCACCACCACCACAAACCACCACCACCGCCACTGCCAAACCACCACCACCACCACGACAACCCACCACCACCACAAACCACCACAAACCACCACCACACCACCACCAAACCACCACCACCACCACCACCACCACCACCACCACCACCACCACCACCACCACCACCACCACCACCACCACCACCACCACCACCACCACCACCACCACCACCACCACCACCACCGCCACAACCACCACCACAACAAGCCACCACACAACCACCACAACCACCACCACTACCACCACAACCACCACCACAACCCACCACCACCACCACCACCACCACCACCACCGTCGTCCTCGTCGACGCTCCCCGCCACCGCCGCCCGCCGCCGCAGGCGCCGGCGCCGGCCAAGAAATGGAAATCGTCGTCCCCGCCGTCGTCGCCAGCCGCCGCCGACCCAAGCGCAGCGCCGGCCCGAGGATATGGGAAGCAGGGGGTGGTGGTGGGGGGGGTTCGAACCCCCCCCTCCGTCACGACAGGGGGGGAGGTCCAGTTCCCCCCCCCCCAAGCGACCACAGAACGTGCTCTTCCTTCCTCCATCCATGCCTCCAGTCCTCCTCCCTCGATCCCTCGACCCTGCTGGACCCCTCGATCCTCGATCCTGGTCCTCCTCCATCTTCCCATCCCCCTCTTTTCCCCCTCGCGCTTCAGCTGCCCCCCCCTGCCTAGTGCTGCGCCCCACTCTCGCTGCCGCCACTGCGCCCGCTCCACTCTCCACCGCCGCCTCCCTGCTGAGGTCTGCGGCACTGCCCGCCCCCCGCCCCTCATCCAGAGAGAAAGATGCCGATGCCGCTACCCCTTCACTCGCGTTCGCCTTTTCGGGCTTTCTGGGCGGCCTTCGTCGTCACGGCTGAGTTCGCCTCGAAAGCTTGGTCAAAGCGCGCCCCGGGAGAGGTCCAGGGAGCACGGTCCGGAACTTTGGCTTCGTGTCGCCTCCGCCGGTTCTGGCCCATTGCGCTGCGGCGCGACGCGCCATCCCTTTCCCGGTCTCCCAGCGTCAACGTCCGGAGCCTCTCGAAGCTCCGCGCCCCGCGGGGCGGAACGACGCGCTATCCGCTCGCCAGGCATAGCGTTCCGGCAAGGCCGCCACTGCGACTCGCTATGATCAAGTTCCTGGCCAGACGGGCAACCAGCATAGTCAGGATGAGCAACTTTCCAAGGTTACCCTGGCATCCTTCCGTTCTGGCCGACATGGCCTTCCAAGGCGGCCCTTGCACATGGCCTTCCAAGGCCCTTGCACATCCATATCGTGCGCCTTTATTCTGCGGCTTGACTGCAGCGGTATCGGTACCTTTTCGGTTTCCCCATTTGCCGCCCTCGCCGCCGTCCTCGACGCCGCGGCCCGCGGCCGCGGGGGCCTGCGCCTCCCTCGCGCTTCCCCGCTCGTCGCCCCGCGCGCGGCGCGCCAGGTGTACGAGTACGCGAGGAAGGCGCACGCCCTCCCCGCCGCCGTGAAGGCAGGGCGGGGGGGCTGGTGGGGTCTGGGGCCGGGCCTCGTCTTTCGCAGCGGCCGGGTCTCGCGAGGAGCCGTCCAGTCGGCCCCCCCCTTGCTCCCTCCTCGTCGCTCCCCCTTCTCTCCCACCCCCCCATTCCTAGACCCACTTCCCCTCCATCCCTATCCTTCCGAAAAACTCCTCCTTGTCGCACCCCCGGGCATGGTGGTAGGGCGGGCGGGGTGCGTCGCGTAAGCATTCCGCACCACTGAAGGCCTTCGCAGCAGCTTCAAGGATGGAGGGCGGGTCCTTTTCAAAATGTGGCTTTCGCCTTTGGGCCGCGCACATTCGTTTCAAGTAACAGTTCTTAACTGTTTCAAGGATGGAGCGCAACTATGGTTATTAATGACGTTTTCGCTTTATCTCCTCGCACATTCTTTCCCAAAGTCTGGATCAGTGTAAGGATGGAGGGTGGTCCTTTTCAAATGTGGCTCTTGCCTTGGCACCGCGCGCATTCGTGTTAAACTTGTTTGATAATTTGTACTGGTTCGTAAGGCTGAAGTCCCAGGAATGGTTCTCTAGCGCGATTTTGGATAGACATGATGCAGCAATCACGTTGACTCGCGGTGTTGAAGCCCCAGGATTTGCGTTCTGGCGCGATTATGACTTGTTGAGACGCAACAGCCACGCTAATTGGCGTCGTTGAAGTAGTAGGAGCTGCGTTTTGTCACGACTGCGCATTTTCATGTTTAATAGGCACCTACGAAGATGGCTCCTTCAGGGAGGGTTTATTGCACCGCCGTTGATGCGTTTTGGGTTTGCACTGGTCCTCCTCCTGTTCCTCCTCGCCGTATCGCTGCCGCCTGTGCTGTCCCTGCCCATCATCCGCAGCCTGACCCGCTTGAGGGAGATCGCGACCCATGGGCGGCTCGGGCTAATCGTGTTCCTCGTCATGCTTGCCGACCCCGATGCGGCGACTGGCCGCACTTCGTTGCGGTGTGACCCCCATACATCTCTCGTGCTCAAGATCGTGCTGCCCCTGGTGATGGCGGCGCTTTTGCTGCTGGAGGTCACACTGCCCTGGACGTTGCCAGCATCGAGGACATCGTGCGGTCTGCTATCACCCTCCAGATGGACACGGTGTGCGAAGTGGGCAGAGGCTTCATGGTTAACGCTCACACTGGTACTCGGCGCACGGTGGTTTGCCTCCTCGAACCAATTGATGTTGAGTTTTGGACCCTCCAGAACCGCACATCCACCATCGAGCAGTGGCAGGATTCCATGCAGTTGAGTCTTGAGGAGCTCCAATGCTCTTTGGCGCAAGCTGGTGATGTTGCTGTCTTTGACCTGGCCCGACTGGCCTAGTACGACAGCCCCCCCCCCCCACCCCAGCCTCGTCCGCATCGGTTGTTCGCTCCCCTCTGCAGTCGCCGAAATCCAAGTTGCGTTTGAGGAGTGGTTTAAAGACACGGACATCGAAGCGGGGCAGTGACGCCTTCATGCACAGCTCCCTGGTCAAGTATCAGATCTGCATCTTCACGGTGGTGTTCCTGGCGGTGCTCGGGCAGTACGCCTTGCCCAACAGCTTCAACCACCTGGGGGAACATCTTGCCAGCTTCGGGCAGTTGCCGTCAGCGGTGCCAGAGATGCAATCTATATCAACCCTGACGAGAGCCCCAAGTCCGTTCGGCGCGAGACCCAATGCAAGACGCTCCCTGACATCCTCCAGCTTGCCAGGCCCGGCCTCGAATGACGCAGCCTCCGTTCTCGTGGTCTCATGAGCGCCGACTCCATTCCCGTGGTGGAGGCGGTAGCGCAAGGCGTGGAAGAACCTACTCGTTTGGCGCGGTCGCTTGACAGCTTGGCCCAGCTCGGCATCGACTGCAATGTGGCCGCTACCAGCTCCTGCCAGCAGCTCATGGCGTTGACACTTCGGCTTGCACGTTATCCTCGCAGGAGTTGGGTGCTGTGTGAATTGGGGTTGGGCGGCTCACCAGAGCTCCGTGTTGTGACCTGGAACGCTCGGGGCAGTCTTCGTTGGAGCCACCAGTGTCACCGCCAGGAGCTGGCGCAGCTTGAAAAGCTCGTGCTTCCGCGCGCGGTTGTTCTTCGGCAGGGGGGTCACGGTAACGAGCTCACACCGAAGGCGTGCGTCAACCATTCCAAAATTCACTACGAGATTTTGCCAGGTGCTGAAGGGGCAGGGCGAGTTGGAGTGGCCATTATTTATGCCACGGCATGCGCCTCATACCCCGAGTTGTACACCCGTCGAGCATCTTCCCTCATTGCAAACCCCATAGTTGTACAGGAACACATTGACAGTCTAGCAGCTCGTAACCCCGTGTCGGGGAAAGGAGTGCGTTTCCTGCACACCTATAAACCCGCCATTCTCTGTGGGTCTCGGGCTATCATCAGGCGGCGGTAGACTCGGAACCCTCTCTTGGTCGCAGCAAGGTGGGACTTCCCAGCCTGCTCTTGGCATCGGCAATTTCAACGTCAGTGGCGCAAAGAATGGATGACTTATGCCCCTCCATGCGTCGGAACATTTGTTTTTTTTGACGCCCGTGCATCTCAAACTGGACCCTCTGGGCAGTGCCTGCTCCAGCGTGGCATGCTGGAGACCAGAGGCCCCCGGTCCAGTCACTACTCGAGGTCCGCGGAGACGCTGGGCACGACCGACGGGATCATCGTCTTGCTGGGCACGCGGGACGTCGTCGACTGGTCACCGTGGGCGTCATCCAGGAAGCCCCGTCGGCTCTCTTTGGCGCTCTCGGGCCGCGCGCTCCTCGTCAGCCCGGTTTCAAAGCGAGCGCGGCATCCGCGGCTCCATCGTCGGGCAGCCCCGCTTCTCCGATCTCTCGCATCGCTGCGCTGCCGTGGCCCAGTCTGAACGCCTTCACAACGCCGCGACGACGAAACGGATTGGGGAGCCCATGACCATGGCGGTTGGGCTCGCGAGAGATCTAGAAGCAGAGCGGCCTCTTGCCACCTGCTTCTGGGACTTGCAAGAATTGTCTTGCGCCGAGATGTACCTTTTGATCTGCGGCTTCCGTCCGCGTCGGCCATCGCCCAGCGCTTCCTGGCCATCTCGCCGCGTTCCATCGCGCACCCCGCTCATGCTTCGGAGCGCCGCGAGCTCACCCTGTCGGCGAACCGGCGGCGCTTCGAGATGGCTGCTCAGTCGTCACCGCGACAAGCTGGTCGTCGAGAGAGAGAGCGCCACAAGGCGATGATTCTCCTGCTGGGGGCCCTGAGCGCACGAAGGCGCAGGAGACGTCCATGCGCCTGGCGCTGGCCTGGAACCCCGCCTGCTCTCCGTGAGCCGACGCGCTCGCAGCCTAGACGGGGCCGGGCGATTCGAGGGCGGGTCGCCATGACCACCGCGATCAACGACCACTAACTGTCCGTCTTTTCGGCCACCTCTCGGTTTTAGGGGGCCGCGTGCGAGCCCTACCCCTGCCCCCCGCGATATCTGAGGGGGAGGGCGGGGTTCGCTGCGTCGACGACGCGGGCCCCCTGGCCCACGCCGCTCTCCGCGTCGGAAGACCGCCCGAACAGCCGCCGGGGCTCTGCCCAGGGCGATGGTGCGTCTGTTTCCTGGCGGGGGCCCCGTCGACTGGCATCGATCATCTTCATGTCGCCATTATCCCAAAAGGCGGATGTTCTCGCGATCTCACCGACTGCGCAAGGGATGCCGGCAGCTTGCGGCCATTGAGTCTTGGGAGGCGCCCGGGCCGCGAACGCCCGCCCCTGTCGCGTTGCCAAGCAGCATGTTTTAGATATTCGGCAAGGTTTCGTTCTAGGCCGCAGCTCTGGTAGCAGCGTCAATCTAGATGCGAGGGGGCCCGTCTTGGTGGCGCCGGAGATGCTGATTCAACTCGTCGCCCCTGTTCTGCCTCGTTCGATGTGCGCGGGGCCACGGCGTGTTTGAGCGGTGTTTGAGGGCTGCGTTGAAACGGCATTCCCCATCAAGGGTTACTTGCGCGCAATAGAAGCCATAGCCTCTGATGCAGTTGGAGTTCTTGATGTCGGACCTTGGCGGTGCAGTCGTTTTGACATTCCCCGAGGCCCCCAGAGCTGCTCGTCGAGCGGCGCGCTGTGGGCCTTCGGAATGGGCGCCGCCTGCAACCGCGTAGCTGAGGCTGCCGCCGCTGCCGGCGCCGCGACAGTCGGCCCGAGGTGTAAGATCGAGGTCTGTTTGGGGAGGGTGCCTTATTGTTCTTCGTGGTTGCTGGATGTTCTCGCGCATGCTGGGGGGGGGGCCCTCGGGCGTTCTGCGGTTTGGCTGGCGGAGGGCCCCGTGTGTTTGAGCGAAGTTATTCTGGCCCAGGTCCGACTGCGTGATCCGACCGAGTGCGCTCTCGGAATCCCGCGGCGGTCTCTCGGAGCGTGGCCGAGCTTCGGATTGTCGCGCGGCCCCTGGTTGGTTCTCCAATGGGCGAGCTAAAGCACGCGTAGCTTCTGCAGGTGCTCGGGCATTCAGTTTGGGCCCGGGGCTGAGCTCATTGATCGATATTCCTCGGGCGGGCAAGAGCGGCGGGCTCGGCGCCGAATGGCCGCGGCAATTCGCGCGCCCACTGGCGCCAGTCTCAGATTATAACGCATGCTGATATTGCCCGGCCTTTCGCGCATGCCTGCGTTTCGTCTCGCCCCGGCCGTTTGGCTGCAAGGGGAGCTTCGTGCTCTTCGCGAGCCCCTCCGTTCCCCCCCATCCTCTGTTCGTCTTCCCGAGCTGCGCTCCCTCAGAGGGCCGAGGCCCCCCGAGCTTCTGACGGTTGCGCGCGCTGCGAGTGCGTCGCGGGCGCGCGGTCGCACTTTCAGAGATCGGGAAAGAGCTCGCGAGAGACTGCGCGCGCGAGCTCGCGAAGCAGGCGCGCTCGTCGCGCGTTCGAGGGGCGGCGGGCTGCGCCGCGTTAGCGCATCGAGCAAATCGGTTATTCAGCACCTCTCTTCTTTCTTCGACCCCGGCGCGGCGCTTGGCCGCATTTCGCTTCGATTCTACCTTGGGCCCTTCTTTCGGTTAT